TTGCAGGGGGCATCAGAATACTCATCAGAGAACGTGGCATTAATCCTGAGACCAAGGAGGGGCTGGTTATGCAGACACGTGCACAGGGGGCTTCCACGCCCTGGGAGTGAAGTGCACCAGAGTCCAGGCACAGGAGAGTGCAGGGCTCATCCAGGGGCCCCGGGGTGTGAACCAGGTGGGGCAGGGGCAGGGCACACAAAGTGGACAGGAGGTAAGATCCAGAGCAGGAGAATCTTTGCAGACCTGTTGTTCCCCACCTGAGGGCCACAAAGCCCAGAGAAGCTACGGCGTTAATGACAGGATGGAAGCATCCACAGGTATATGGAGCCTTGCATGCAGCATAACGTTGCACACATATGAACTGCTTCGCAATTACATATTGATGCTGACATAAAATCAAATGAAAATCATTTTTGAATTCACAAAGGCTTTGAAAAGTATAATGACATGGGCTTTTTATCATTTATCATTTTGGTAGAAATAGTAAAAGTACAACTATTATCGTGTGCGGTCTACAAAATTTGGAGGCATAATAAAATGTTTGGAGATCAGTGCTATAGGCAATGGAGAACCACCGAACATTTCTTAGAAGTGAAGCGTCATGAAAAGATTTGCTTATTTTAAAAAGGGGGGAAAAGGACTTCCCTGGTGGCACAGTGGTTAAGAATCTGCCTGCCAATGCAAGGGACACGGGTTTGAGCCCTGGTCTGGGAAGATCCCACATGCCACAGAGCAACTAAGCCCGTGCACCACAACTACTGAGCCTGTGCTCTAGAGCATGCGAGCCACAACTACTAAGCCTGTGTGCCACAACTACTGAAGCCCGTGCACCAGAACTACTGAGCATGTGCTCTAGAGCCTGCAAGCCACAACTACTGAGCCCATGTGCCACAGCTACTGAAGCCCATGGTGCCTTGAGCCCATGCTCCACAAGAGAAGCCACCGCAATGAGAAGCCCGTGCACCACAACGAAGCGTAGCCCCCGCTCGCTGCAACTAGAGAAAGCTTTTGTTGCGTGCAGCAATGCAGACCCAACGCAGCCAAAAATAAAAATAAAATAAATACATTTATTTTTTTAAAAAGGGAGGGGGGGAATCCTGCTGGCCTGCGGGTGCCATGGAGAGAGGCCGGACAGGCCAGACTGGAGGAGGGGACAGAACCCTTGTGGCAGAAAGGGGAGGACGATGACGATGACACCCAACAGACAGGACCTGGTGGCCAATCAGATGTGGATGTGCAGGAAAGGGAGTCTGGGCTGATGACCGATTTCTAGTCTGGACAGTGGCATCCATGGCAGTAGATTGTGAGCACAGGGGCACACAAAGGAGGGTGTCGGGGAGCCGTGAGCCGACCTCCGGGAGATGAGTGTGGTCAGCAGAATGGCCGCCAGAGATGTCCACCCCCTTAGCCTTGGATCCTGTGAACACGTGGATTACACAGCAAAGGCGGATTAAGGATGCAGATGGAATTAGGATCTCCCACCCCCTGACCCTGAGATGAGATCACCCTGGACCCTCTGGGTCAGCCCGACACCAAAATAAGGGCCCTGAGATGTGGAAGAGGAGGTAGGAGGGTCAGTGTCAGCGGGACTCCACTTGAGGAAGACTTAATAGACCACCACTGCTCTGAAGGTGGAGGAAGCCCCTGAGCCATGGAGCGCCCAGAGCTGCGAGAGGCGAGAGGATGGGTCCCCAGGGCCTCCACAGAGGAACTCGGCCCCGGCCACACCTCAACTTCAGCCTGGGAGACCCGTTTCAGAATTCCACCTCCAGGACCGTAGTGAGAAATCTGTGTTGTCCTAAGGCACTAAGTTTACAGTCTTTCGCTATAGCAGTGACAGGAAGCTAACACAGCAAGTTAGCTCTGAAGTGCACGTGGGACATTAGGAGGGACTGAGCAGAGATGCTGCCCAGAAATGTGTCTCCTTTTAGGGATGAGCATCGACCCCACCCACAGGACTCTGTCATGTGCAGATCCTGGTTTTACTGTTAGGGGTGGGTGCTGCCTGGGGTGACAGGGGACATTGCAGTTGGTGACTCTGATAAACAGGGGCTCTAAAAATGGCTCCAGTTCACAAAAACGAGAGCAAGGCCTCCCCGTGTGAAGGGGGTGGAGGGAGGCCCAGCCCTGGCAGGAATGCAGGGCCCCGGGCCCCCCATTCACCTGCAGCCTCGCCCAACGCCCAACGCTCCAGGCCGCCTCAGGGCTCTGTCTCGGTCTTCCCATTTTCCAGCCGGGGGTGGAGAGTTGGCACGCGCACCCCTCACCCCCTCGGCCCGTGCCAGGCCTGGCATAATTGAAGGATTTCTCTCTTCTATAAAAACGAGTGGAAACTGAAAAATGAATGTGCTATTAGGCATAAAAGGCGTAAGCCTCATAAAATTTAACAAAGATGAAGAAGAAAGCCTTCAGGGGCCAAGTGTAAGTTGATCAACTGGGCGTCCTGCCAGGAAGACGTTACCAAAAAGTCCGGTCAGAGTGGACATTTCCTGAGGCTTACAGGGCACCAGCCCTTCATACTCGTAACTCCATGGGCCCATTGGGGCAGGTGCCATGCTTATCCCCTTTACAGATTCCAAAGTTTAGGCACAGAGACATTAAGAGGTTACGCTGCTTAAGGAACCACAACCAGTAAGCGGCAGAGCCAGGATTCAAGCCCAAACAGCCTGCCTGCTGGGCCCAGCCCATTGCCTCTCCCTGATGTCATGGCTTCCTCCTAACCTCTCCCCCTCCCCCTCCCCTTCCCTCCCCTCCCCTCCCCCTCCTCTCCCCTCTCCCCCTCCCCTCCCCTCTCCCCCCTCCCCCTCCCCCTCCCCTCCCTGCACTCCTTCTGTCCTGTCCACACCCACACCCGCCTCCAGAACATGCCAGACATTCCTCTGCCTCAGGGTCTTTGCACCTGCTGTTCCTTTTAGAAAACTTTTCTCCCCTCATCTCCTTTCAGGTCATGTGAACATCTCTGTGAAGATGCCCCGAACTCCTCTAAAGGGACTGGGAGCTCTGTCCTTGTACCCCGGGAAGGCCTGACCCAGATAAGGGAGGTCGGACTGGGGCCGGGTGAGGAGAAACTTCCAGGTGCCTCTGGGCAAGGGTCAGGCTGCTCTCGGAGGCCAGTGGAGGCCAGGAGGCTGGCTGGCTGGCTGGCTTTCGGCACTCCAGGACACATGTGGGTGGGCAGTGGTTCTAGTGGCTCTCTGCCCAGTTTTCTAGTCCACTGTGGTTGACTGGTCAGTGGATACAAAAGAGTCGTAGCCTTGACATGGAAGGTGATGTGGGGAAGGAAGGAGACAGGCCTGTCCTTCACTAGAGGACCAGGAAGGCTGTCCACCCCCTGCAGATGGGGAACCCTGCTGGCCTTCACTGTGAAGCTGGTGGAGCCCAGGTTCCTCCCAGGGCCACTGCAGACGTTTACCCCATGTGCGCACCTGTGCTCTCATCCAGGACACCAACGGCCTGTGAGAAGGGCAGCCCTGTCCCCACAGGAGGAAGCCCAGGCGTATCTGTGACCTCAGCGTCACCCCATGCTCACTGCTGCTCTGGGCCTGGACTTGGGCTCCTAGAACAGACAGGGAGGTCAGCACACAGCCCATCACAGACACAGACCCACAGGGTGCTCATCTCAGATGGAACTCGGAATTCTCAAACCCCACCCTGAACAGACGCATTCCCACCACACCTCAGGGGCCTGCCTCTCCACACCCCTGAACTTCTCTTCACTCCCAAAGAAATTCTTTGGTAGAAAACACAGGTGCCGTTAGAGCCACAGGTCAGAATTTATCTCCTACCACCTCCTGGAGAGCATCTTCAAGGAGAGCGTTCTGCTCAACGTCATTTACGCTTAAAAACAGAAAAGTGTGGGAACTTCCCCCGTGGTCCAGTGGTTAAGACTCTGCGCTCCCACTGGAGGGGGTGTGGGTTTGATCCCTGGTTGGGGAACTAAGATCCCGCGTGCCACATGATGGAAAAACAGAAAAGTATGACTTGGTAAGGCACCAGGTAACCTGCCTCCGGGCCTTTGCACCTGCTGTTCCTTTTAGAAAACTGGGGAGAAGACCTGCCCTCCTCTGGGCTTGTGTAAGAGGTGGGTGGTTTCTCATAAGTGTGTCAAGCACAGAGATCAACATTACAAAAGGTTCATTTCTACACACATGGTGAAAAGAGATGACAGTTGTAGAGGACCCTGTATTGTTAAATTATGACGGGCCTACACCGCAGGACGTATGCTAGGGTATTTCCCAAAGCACAACTCTGATCAAACGTCCTCCTCGATACCAAGCTGTAAGTTTAACAACGTCTGAGCTCTGAAGTGAATCAAGTTTACATTTAACTCGAGCACATACTTTTAAAACCTTTTCTGCCCAAATCTTTATTTTCCCCAAGAAGTAAAAATGGAGGAAAACCTCGAGTACAATTGTGCATTTACTCTTCTATAAATTTGGCAACATATTAAAACCTGTTGCATCTCAGTGTCAACCTCCTGGGTTTTTCGCACTAATAGTACAGGCTGCATCAAGCGGGGCTGAAAATGAAACACGAGTAAAGCTCTGGAACTGGACCACAGAGGTGTTCCTCACCAACCGCTGGCCCTAAAGGCAGAGGGTGGCAAAGGTTCCCCCTCCACCGGGGGACCAAGAAGAGCCCCATATGCTGTCACAGGCATAAAATTTCTTTCAAGTTTTGTGTTCAGTCTTAAAAATTAACTTGCATTTTACTCCATGACATTTGCTTTACTATAAAAACACTGTTTGAAATCACTTGCCAGTCAAATAACCCTTCCTCACCCGCTCCACACCAGGGCAGGCAGAGCCCCGTCTGGGAAGCTCACGGGTAGGTGAGCCAGGCACCAAGCTTCGAACACATTTCATTAGGTCCATTTGGGGCATTTCCACAAATGAAGTAATTTTATTCACTCAGGATGTAACTAAACGCTTCAGGAAGCAATGATATCAATTTCAATGTATTGAAAAATAAATAATAAACAGCATGTTTTTTAGTTTTTAAACAAGGAAATTAGTTAATTTTATTTACTAATAGAAATGAAGGAAGCCTCTAACCTAAAGTATAGTCTGATCATTTACTTTCTGTAAAAAGAAACACAAATTGGATTTTTTTTTTTAACATAAAAAGGACAAGACCCACAGAAAGATAAACTCCTCTACCTGCTGGCATTACAGAGATTTCCCCAGTTACTGACTGATTTTGGTAGATCTGCATCACCACTGCAAGCCTGACGTCACAATCTGATGCATTCAGCTACTTCTCGGCATCTCAGAAGCAGCCCCATCCCAGAGTAAAACTGCTCTCTGGCACTTTGGGCACTTTTCCCCTCCAGAACATGAAGCCCTAAAAACCGCCACCTGGAAGAACACAAACATGTCACCAATCTGTGGTTTTCTGACTGTTCCACAGTGAGGAGACAGCTGAGCAAGGGTGCTGCGGTCCCTGCCACCACCGATCCCACACGAGGCGCTGTCTCTATCACCAGCTCCCTGAAAGGCATGTGTGGATTTGACTGGCTGTTTTAATAGGTTTCAAGAGACATTCATATTAAAATAGGTTCTAAGAGACGCTCATGTTTTAACATGGGCTCCAAAATGTGTGAAGATACACCTAGAATCACATCTCAAGGCATCATCAAAAAGAGATCTGTTCCAGAAAGTGTTAAAAGAGGAAGCCAGGCTTCCCTCACAGCTGTTTCTGGGGCCACATTTTTTCCCATTAACTGTTTAAAAGTCTGAATCAGAAGCAAGAATGGCCACCTCTATATCCGTGTTTGCGTGCGTACACAAAGAAGTACCTTTACGCTGACTTCAGGAAAATAAGGACATTTTGTGTCCCCCAAACATCCGCCTGCTACAGGCCTTGCAAGAGGGTTCACGCCCCCTGAAGATGAGGCAAGGGAAGCCTAGAAGGTAAGAAACAACCCCGACAGGTCTCCTGAGCGCTGTCATCACAGAGGTTCAGGCAGTTTGGCTCATGTGTATGACAGCAAATACCATGCTCTGAGCTCAACGTGAATCACTCCCTAAAGAAAACAGAGCTATCACTTGCTACACTCCTCATGGCATTTTGGCTGTTGATACGGTCTCAGGATGAAAAACTCCCATCAACAACTTTTCCTTTTTGGTCTACACAGCACCATAGTTAGTGGCATGTTTTTTTGTTGCTTGCTTTTAAATCTTAAGCAACCAGGTATAAGAATACAACCAAAGTGACTGATTTGAGGTTTTATAGGCAAAGGTCTCTCTCTTTTTTTTCCTCAGACTTTTGCTCCTTAAAAAAAAGGGGGAAAAGTATGAGGTTTCAAAGCTAAGAGTTACTCTGACCATAGCTGGCCCTCAATCAAGGGACAGCTAACCATGCCATTTCCTCTTTGTTCTTCTGTGCATTATCTCGTGGCAAAATTTCACTCTGGACGCCCAGATCTGAGGTGCCTTTTCATATTAGATATAAATTAATCCAAAGGTCTAGAGCTCTAAATTCCCAGAGTCATGACAAACGCTTAACTTACTTCAAAGATCTCTTGCATAAGTATCTCATCCCTCGGCTCAAACAAACGAGAAGGTCAAAGGCAAGAAAGGATACATACATTGGAGCATCTCCTATAATCCATATACACGCGCATTCTCTATACAGGTTCTACATGGTCAAAGGAGTTGTTTCAGCTAATATAGCCTCTAGTGCGGAGTTCGTCGGAACACAGCCCGTCGGGGCCCCACCAGCATCATACGAAACAGCAGTACTTCTTCCACCAGGACTTGGACAGGGTCTTCATCTTGTCCGGAGTCCTGCTCTTGGACTTCCTGGGCTGCTGCTGAGAGTCCGAGTACTGGATTCCGGCGACGATGGCTGCATCAAAGACCTCTTTGAGGTTCTTCTGAGTCAAGGCCGAGCACTCGATGTAGGAGGCAGCTTTGATCTCCTCAGCACACAACCTGGCCGCCTCCTCGGGCACGGGTTTCTCTTTGCATTTGTCCAGCTCGATGAGGACTTTGACGTCTTCTCTGAGATCCGACTGCGTCCCCACGAGGATGATGGGGGCTTTGGGACAGTGGCAGCGAATCTCCGGCACCCATTTCTCACTGACGTTCTGGAAGGAGGAGGGGCCCACGACACTGAAGCACAGGAGGAAGATGTCGGCGCTGGTGTAGCACAGAGGCCGGAGCTTGTCGAACTCATCCTGCAAGCGAGCCAAGCACCCAAACGTTATCTTTTACATCAGTTCTCATCAGCACAAAGACCGTTTTTCTGGAGAGGGTCTGGCAGGTAACAGAAAGCCCACGAGGGATGGAAGGAAGAGCGAGAGTCCTCAAAAGGCCCCTGCTGCCAAGTGGGGCAATGCTCCCAGCCCCTGGAAACCTGCCCGACGTGCTCAACGTTTTCCTTGATGCTCTAGACCTACTTGCAATTTACCATAGGAAAGGTCCTTAAATTAGATGGATTTTCAAAATAAAATTTACTTTCTCTAGGCTTCAGCACAGAGTAACTCAGACCCACTCCTTCAACTCTGGTACTTAGTCAGGCTCTTAAAACGTACACAGTACCCACGTTGATCCTCGGGGCTCCACCCTGACTCCAGGGAACCCCACTCTGTGAACCCAGCGCCTCTGTAAGGACCCATCCCTGCCCATCCTCACAGCAGCGATGAGCCATGCCTGTTCCATCCCATCTGCGCTGGGCACACCCAGGGCACATTCAGGGCACACGCGGTGCAGAATCATGGGAATCAGACACAGGTCTGGAGTTGAGGACCTGGACTTGGCCACTCTCATTAGGGACCCAGAGAATGTGTGCCTCTCAATGTCACATACAACACTGGTGAATACAGTCTCACACTTGCTGGATATAACACTTCTCCATTTATCTTTTTCTCCCTCCCTCCTTTTCTCTTACTTTCCCTCCCTTCTTTTCTCTCCATGAATCCCAGAGGCCCCCACGCACGATGCTTTGGGAGGATAAAGAACCAGAGAAAGGGTGTACCCACCCAACTTCTGAGGGCTAGAGAACTGGATGGAACAAGTTAGAGCTGATTATATAAACCAACCACCCACCACGCTGCTGAAGGCCGTGCCGCACTCACTCACTAACAGAGATGCATGTGGGACTCCAGGCACCACGCATCAGACACCAGACTCCAGGGGATTTGGCTGGGGACAGACAGACATGGCCTCAGCCCTTGTAGGCACATCTGTCTCCAAATCAGTGTTTCTTTATGTCAAACACCCTAGAGTCCCCTGCAGCACCATATTTAGCTAACTGAAAGCTTTCACTCATCTCTCTTCTAGGAAAACATTTACATCATCTCATCTCTATTTGAAATTTCTATATGTGGGTGCCAACCATCCTCCGGCATAAGGTGACAAATAGATTCCCAGCAGCAAGGAAAAGGTAAACGTCACCCAGGTTTCTGCTGCTCAGTTGACACATATGATTATTTACGAGCTATTATTTACGTGCATGTTATGCTGCATCTGTGGCCTTTTTCTAGGGATAAGGGAAGCCTGGATCTTCTTATTTGAGTTCACTTTCCTCGTCTGAGGCTCCGTATTTCAGTTTGTGGGGCAACACCCAAGTAACAATATTAAAGTCAACCAATTTTAAAGTCCTTCCTCAGGAAGGAATACGGCATCTCTCCATGTCACTGCCACTTCTCCGACTTCTACATGCAAAAGTTAAAAAGAAAGAAAGAAGAAAAAAAGCCTTGGATTTCTTAGTGCCAACTCTGCGCTGAAAGAAGAAACACAGAAACCCATCCAGGTGGCCCACGGCCCAGCCACGAGGATCTTTTAATGAAACATTCCCTCTGTTCTCGGAGGCCTGCAAGGAAGAAGCACAGGACGGAGGCGTTGCCCGCGCTGCTGGCAGTCACTGCACCTGCTGGGCCCTGGATCTGGGGTTGCGTTACCAATAAAAAGAAAGGTGAGCACAGGCCCAGGCCTCGTGACCGGGCTTTGGCAATCTGGCTCCCAGACCTCTGAGGTTCTGGCTGAGGGACTCGGGAAGCAAGGCAGAAATTAAATCCTGCTGACCAGAAATCTTAGCTATCTGCTGAAATAAATGCAGCACACATACGTGTGATAAGGCCAACTGTAATGGACCCTCAAGGAAACATGTTCTGAGGCCCAGAGATGTGCCTGGGATGCAGGGCAGGGCAGGGCAGGGCCGGGTGGGATTGACAGGCCGCTGGACAGCAGTGCTAGTCAAGCTGCAGTCGGATTTCTTCTTTTTTTTAAGTATAAAGATTTCCCCAAGTGCCTCATGGTTCAGAAGGCTGAAGAGTTTTCACCTGCTATTGGTCACTCTCTTTCAGTCTGATCAATTTCACCTGGCGTGAAATTGATCACAGTGAAATTTCTACAGCATTAAAAACTCCTTTTAACATCTTACATGCTCACTGAGCCCCCAACAAGAAAACTCCAAGGCACAAGAAGCGATTTCTAGTTATTTACCCAGCTCTCAGCTGCTATGTGAAACCTGCGTTTGGTCCCTAGGCGACGGCCACCGGTGCTCACATTCTCTGGGACTTTGCAAAGGAGGTCGCTGGAGTCGCTGTGTCCTCAGGAAGCTACCATGACAACTGCCTGTGGGGGTGGGCGCAGTGCCACGGGCTGGGACAACACGAAGGGAATATGGCACGTGTCAAATCAAGTCCCTTAAAAGGTAGTTTATCAGATCTGGAGTAGGGAGGGTAGGAAAGGACTACCACCTTACCCAGCTTTGCTTATGGTCAAAGCAAATACTGATACTTGGGGAGAAGGAAAAAACTGACTTTATCTCACCAGCTGTGTATTTTTCACAAATAGTTTTTGAAGCTGGTTTTCTACAAATCTGTAGACGGTTGGCCTCATTCCTTACACAATTAGACATACTTACTAATCAGGTAAGAAATACTGTGAATCTCAACCAGAAAAACTGCTGGGAGGGCTTCCCTGGTGGCACAGTGGTTAAGAATCCGCCTGCCAATGCAGGGGTCCCAGGTTCGAGCCCTGGTCCGGGAAGATCCAGCTATGCCACGGAGCAACTAGGCCCGTGTGCCACAGCTACTGAGCCTGCGCTCTAGAGCCCGCGAGCCACAACTACTGAGCTCACGTGCCACAGCTACTGAAGCCCGCGTGCCTAGAGCCCGTGCTCCGCAACAAGAGAAGCCACCGCCATGAGAAGCCCGCGCAGCGCAACGGAGAGCAGCCCCCGCTGGCCGCAACTGGAGAAAGCCTGCGCCCAGCAATGAAGACCCAACGCAGCCAAAAATAAGTAAATAAATAAAACAATGGATCTATTCAAAAAACAAACAAACAAACAAGAATAACTGCTGGGAGAGCAGAAGGATAATTTCCAAATAAACCAAAGCTTACCAACTTGCACCAAAATCTTTTCATTTCCCGAATTATGAACCTTTTCCATGAAAATACGTCTAAAATGATTCTCTTGATGCCCTGACTTTGAAACAGACCCTATTAAGGAAAAAATTAAATTCTTTCTTGATAATTCAGGATCATTTCTACATAGTGTTCCTGGTAAAAGACCTATTCCTCTTTCAAAATTGCTCAGAGATTTTCCTCCTGGGTCTACCCATCCTGCCCCTTGAGCTGACTTTGCTGTCCTCCTCCTATAACCTCACTGGTTTCTTTCACAAGTTCTACTAACAGGTAGACTGTAAGTCTGTTGAGCGGCAAGCCCACGACTTAAGTTTGCCTCCCCCAGGACCCAGCACTCCATTTATTGATTGATCCATTCTACAAACCGTGAAGAAGCCCCACTCTGTACCAGGCACCGAGAAGGCATGAGGCAGGGAACCCCAGCCCGGGAAGCCATGTCTGCCAGCAGAACCAACACCTGACAGGCGAGCCAGCGGTGGGCAGCTGCCTGCACTGGGCTGCCTGCTCCTCCCTAAAGGGTCCCAGATAAGCACACCCTTTGGTGTCTTGAGTTCTCCTGCCTTCTGTCTCATTCTCGGGCTGTTCAGCTGCCACATCTTGCTACAAAAGGGAGGCCTCTGTTTACGGAGGCGCTACTCGACCCTCATTTTATTTTATTTTTTGGCTGTGCTGTACGGCATGCGGGATCCTAGTTCCCCGACCAGGGATCGAACCCACGCTCCCCACGTTGGAAGCCCAGAGTCTCAACCACTGGACCTCCAGGGAAGTCCCGGCCTTCATTTTAAACATCAGAAAATCTGACCCAAGGTAGGAAAAACATTCTCACTTTATACAAAGCAATTAAGCTTTCATTATAAATAGCAGCAGGGCGTCCAGAAAGATTAAATATTGGAAGAGCCTGTGTTCTTTGAATTTTCTTTTCCACAGGCAAGAAAATGCAGACTGGTTGGTTTTTTCTGCTCCCCATAAAGGGGGAACTGGGAAGCCCCAGTGGAAGGGTAAGGACAGAGCAGAAGAGGTTTGGCTATGACGTGTGCCACCGTGGCCACCGCCAAACCAGCGTTCTGCTGGGGATCAAGGCTGCCCAGTCTCTGTGTCACATCGAGGTTTGAAAAACAAAGCCCTGACTGGATTTGCTGTCCCAAGTGGGTGAGTAACTGAGAAGCCCTGGTGTGGAGGAGGTTCTTGGGGACACTGGAAAGCCAGCTTCTTCTTTAATGTATATGGTCGTGTGACACCTCAGAAGTGAAGTGGGCACTTTTACCTGCCAACAAAGTACCCCAGCACTTTCTCAAGTGCTGGAGAGACAACATGATTAGTAACTTGTCACTTTGGCAAACTCAAGAGACGGCACCCTGGGCCCTCACAGAGCACGGTGAGAACTCAGTGACGTGAACACCATTCGGGGGGACCGGGGTCCCTGGCGCTCTTCAGGGACACCCCAAAGGGGACCTCACACCGGGTCTTCCCACCAGCTCCCTGGCTGTCTTGTCCAAGTGCCTGGCCAAGACAGGAATAAATGTTCGCGATTCGGAAGGATCAGGTCCCGGCTCATTCATTCCTCCAGCTCAGGACAGCCTGGGCCGCTGTATCTCTGCTTCAAGGGATGGGAGCAACCCCAGCAAGTCCAACCATGCTCAGGAAGGGAAACATTAACACTTACTGACGTGAACTCCATCTTCTTCTTGAGTAAGTTTATTAAGTATTTGGCTTGCTGACCTTTAATAAAATGATCGTAAGCTACGGCCAACTTACTTTGAGAAATGAGCACAAAGCAACATTGATAATTTTTAATAAAAACCAGAAAGTAAATAAGATCCGAAATTCCCAGAAGGTAAGAACCTCTCTTGACCCTGTTTCCCCTGTCCTGCCCACACAGAGCCGGGCCAAACCCTGTTTTATTGGCACGGAGCTCTGTGTCCCCACCACCACCCTCTGTGAGAGGCCATACGTGGGGGTGGGGCTCTAGAATGGCCCAGCTGGGGCGGGGGTGAAGGGCTTTAAAAGGCCCTGTCCTCGCCCAGCACTGAGCAGCGATGTGATACTGACCTGTCCTGCAGTGTCACAGAGCTGGAGTCTCACGGGCCGCCCATCCACGGAAACCACAGCTTAAAAATAAGACCAAAAGGACTGTCAGGGGGGTCTCTTTTAACCTTTTCCAGAAGAATGATAGTTTTAATTTGTATGACCATTCTCACTCCAAACCCTTCAGCTCCTATTCTGGGTCCCCAGTGAATTCAAGACTTGCCTAAAACAAAGAGGCCCGTGAGGCATTTCTGCACCCAAACCTGCAGGGCGGGCAATTCGCTCCATGCCCCAGGGAAGGCAGGAGGCCAGAAGCTTTGACGGCACCCAGAAGGGCCTGCGCTCTTCTCCCAGCCCCAGAAGGTTTATTTTCCTGTCACACTTGTTTCAAAAAACCCAAAAACAACACTGGGGGGTAAGTGGGAACCAACCTTGCAGCTTTAAGTCAGTGGAAAATCTCACAAATAATTCTGCTTTCCCTTGGGAAACGTTCGGTGACTTTGGGGTTTATCATAAAAGTGTGGCTTGTTTTGAGAACACGTGCAAACACAGGCTGCCCGCATTGTCCTGCTTATAAAAGAGGGCACAGCTTATCTCTCCATGTCAGCTCAAAGAGCGGATTAAAAGAGAAAAGGAAAGGAAAGAAAACCATTCCCACCTTTCCACTGGGAAGGGGTATCTGGGGAGGGGCCTGCATCAGGGCGCTGCTCTGAGGTTTCTATTTGAATGAAGTACTCCGTTTTGTCTCAATACAACTTTCTAAATTGTTTATACATGTTTACACTACTCAGTTGGGAGGAGGAAAAAAAAGGAAAAAAACAATATCGTTTAGGTGGGAAACCCAGTAGCACAGCACTGTTTTACCTAGGGTGCCTTCCAGGTGGAAGAAAGCAAGTCCTTGCCACCATGACTTTCCAAAAGATCGAGAAGCTTGTGTGTGAGTGTGTGTGTGTGTGTGTGTGTGTGTGTGTGTGTGTGCTTTAAAAAAAAAAAAACAGAGAAAGTGTTTCACCCTAGCTTCCATGGATTTTAACTTTTTCTTAAATTTCAAAAAGACTTGAAAAATCAAGAGTAAGGACTCCTTTATCTTGATAGCTACCAAACCGAATGATATAGCACTGTACACATAAGAGCTTTCAGTAGCTTAAAGAGATACTGAAAAGATACTAAGACTCAGAAACAGAGCCCATGGGGGCGGTGGAAGCGGGGGCAGGGGAAGCGTTGGTGCTCGGAGGGAAGAAGCTGTGTTTACTCTCCAGGTTTAATCCAAACCTCGGCCCTCCCTAGTGCTTCTAGTGCCATTTCCACTAAATCCACTCTCTTCCCCCGTCTCCGCGGCTCTTTAAAAGTGGAGACGCCCTCGGGAGGGGAGCCACCAACAGGAAAGGACGGACCCTCGGGCCACAGGTAATGGCACCTGCGCGTCACCTTCCGATCGAAACCCGGCAGCAGCGCCAGCAACGTCGACCTGACGCAACTTCTCTACCCAGGAAACTGACCAGGCCACCTGGGCGCGACCTGTTAGACCCCACCGTCTGCCCCTGAATGGCGAGGCGACCGCCGCTCCCCGCGCCAGGGTTAAGGCTCCCGGTCCCCGCGGCCCCACGCCCCCCGCAGGCCCCCGGCCCCGGCCCCGCTCACCTGAGAAGTTGTCGAAGGCGGTGGGGATGTACTCGGTGGGGTAGCCGTTGGTGGTGTAGCTCACCACCAGGCTGGTCTTGCCCACCGCGCCGTCGCCGACCAGCACGCACTTGACGCCGCGCCCCTCCGCGCCGCCCGCGCGCCCCCGGCCCCCCGGCGCCCCGGGCCCGCGCCCCCCACGCTCCCGGCGGGGCGGCACGGGCGGCGCCTCGCAGCGGCCCGGGAACGCGGGGTCCCCCTGCTGCGGGGGCATCGGCCCGCGCCCGCCGCGGGGGGAGCTGTCCCCGACCCAGGCGCGAGGTGCAGACAAAGGCGGCCGGGCGGCTTGGGCTGGACTCGGGCTCGCGCGGCGCCGGCTCCGTTCCGCGGCCGAGGACTGCGGGCCGAGCGGCGCGGAGCCCCGCGCTGTCTCCTCCCGCTTCCCGGCGGCCAGGCGCGCTGGGGGCGGGCGCGGGGAGGAGGCGGGGCGGCGGTTCGTTCACCGCGCCGGGCCCACAGCGCCCCCGCCTGCGCGCCGCGCTCTGCGCTCGAGCCGGAGCCGGAGCCGGGCGCGCGGGGGACGGGACCGCGGCCGCGGGCGGGGGACCCAGACAGCCGCCGGGGGGCCGCCGGACGCCGATTGGGGCGGCGCCGAGGAGCCGGGCCGGCAGAGGGCAGCTCCTCCCGGCGCCGACACTGACGCCACCGCCTAGAGGCCCGCGGTCCCGCCGCCTGCGTCCACGCGGCCGGCGGCCAGGCTCCTCCGGGCCCTGCGCCCCTCGCCCCCTTCTCCACGCGGTTCCGGCCTCCTCGGCCACAGCGCTGCACCCGAGGGGAGCAGTGAAATGCCTGGGGGACAGTCGTCGTAAGGAGGCTGAATTAACAGCCAACTTTTCGTTTAATGTCTAGCCGCTGCCCGTCGTGTGATTTTTCTTCTTCGAAAGTAATGTATTCTATCGTTTGAGAGCAAAAGAACGTCAGGTCCTTTGTTAATGCTCGTGTGACTTTCTCTTTGGCGTGCCCTGAACCAGCAAATGTCTTTATAGCCCCAATTCCTACATTTGCTTAAATGTAATGTGGTGACGTTAGTATTATGGTGGTGGGGGGGAATCCGTTTATCTGTGACTCCTTCCTCTACATCTAGTCAGCAGTCCATCCGGAAAGACAGGGAAGCCTTTCTGGGCCTAGTCCGGACACAAAGGCTCCTCGGGGTTTGCACTGTGGTGTGAGAAGAGGCACATACTGTGAACACGAATGGTGATACTAATAATAAAAGTTACAGTAGCTAATAAACATCGATCCTTTCTTACGTGCCAGACACTGGTAAGCGCTCGGCATGAGCTAGTTCCTGTCATCTTATCATTACTTATACCCATCTTATGGGTATAGGATGAGAAAATCTGAGGCACAGAGATATTAGATAAAATGCTGAGGTCCCACAAGCGAGGAATTGGCAGTGCCAGGATTCAGGTAGTCTGGCTCCAGAGCCTGAGTTCTTACCCAGTGTCCTTGAAAGCAAAAATAAGACAGAGTGATAAACTCAGCCTTGGAAGTGTGGCTGTAGTTGGAATGCAGAGGTGGATTTACCAAGAGGCTGGAGGCTTGAATCCATGGCCCCTCATTTGCAGAGAACCTCTTCAAGGCCCTGGGGCCCCTAGCAGTGTGAACACATGGTTATGTTTTTGTAAATTTTTCAAAATCATATATTTTAACCACCACCAATTAATCCCACTATCTCTTTCAACTCTAACTTCTCATACAGAGAAGCTTTGATGTGGCAGTGGACGTTCTGAGGATCAAGCCAAAGTAAAGTAAAGTTGGGGAGACATTTCGTTTGCGTTTAATGGATACAGAGCCATGACCAAGGTGAGGGAAGGAAGGAGACAAGGGAGCAAAGTTTAAGGGGCCAAACTTGCACTTGCCTGACCCAAAGAATGAGCCTTGACCCTGATGGGATGTATCTGTGTGGTTTTCAGTTCCCACATATAGTTACCTTATTTCTAGCCACCCAGGTGTAGGAATGGCCGCCAGTAACGTGCCTACTATGCAGTATACTGCTGGTATCCATCTGAACTTTCCCACTCTCCCCAGCACCAGAAGGTTCCAGTAGCAAAGCAGTCACAGAGTTTAGATATAGCTTCTTGAAGCCAGACGGTAGTTCGTGGCTATTCTTTCCATCATAAAACACGTAGTATTGTTAGATGGGGGTCGGCTCTCTCACCTACACCTGGTCAAAATGGAAGTTCTCTCCCCTCAGGAATATACTCTAACTGCAGCATATACGATTATAAATGCACTATACATTTTTACGGGAAATAGAATTGGTGTGAATTCTTGCGTTTGTGAGGACACAAACCTGTCGCAGTACCACAAACAGCAAGTTCACCTGTATGTGAAGTACATTTCCATTCTTCTCTAGAAAACACGTTACAAAATTGAAAAAGTAGTCAAAGGGCATGCAGCTAGGGGTATGGGGGAGGTTGTGTTCAAGAGACACAAAGTTTCAGTTATGCAAGATAAATACCTTCTGGAGAGCTAATGCACACCCACGTGACTAGAGTTAACAACATTGTATGCTTGTATCTGCTAGGCTGGATCTTGAGTGTTCGCAAAACACACACACACACACACTTGAATATCTCACAATATATCCATATATCAAATCATCAAGTTGTACACCTTAAATATGCACAATTGTCAACTAGACCTCAGTAGAGCTGGGGGAGGGTATGCAGTGAAAAAATGTGGGGAAAATAGTATGATTGAGGTGTGTCAGGTGGTTTATTAAATGTTTTCTTGTGGCTGTTTTTGAAGTTTATGGTGTTTGTCGGCCTTTTAAATTGCATAGCTTATTGTGATGCATGCCTCATTTTAAATCAATATTTTTGTACCTAATTTTCTATCCTTAAATTTTTATCCTTTCTCTTACAGAAGGCCTCCAAATGTGATCAGCTTCAGGCCCTACAAAATGTGGGTCTCCCCCGACCTCTAGACATATAGTAGTTTTTGTATCCTGGAGCCCCCGGCTTTGCTTTGCTCCCTTTTTTATGTCGAATATTGTCCCACTCCACTCGTTTTGGCCCATCTTTCTAGATCCAATTTAATCAACCCCCTGCAGCCTTATTTAAAAGCCGCAGAACTAACTGCCCACTACGAGAAGACTTTTCTGCAGCCCGTGATACACAAGTCCAGAGGCAGGGAGATGGCCTGGAACTCAGTGCTGACCAAGGCCGGGGCTGTGGACACCCCTCCAACTGTAAGGTCAATCGGTAAATCTTACAATAGATCAGTAAATCATATGATGCGTTCTCTTGTTTGCTGTCTGTCTCCCCGTTCAAGCCCCATGAGGTCAGGGACTTTATTTTGTTCATTCTCATACCCGACACTTTACATCATGTGGGGAAAGTAGTAGGTTGCTGTTTTCTGTTTTCTGCTTTTATAAAGTATTTTTAGAACACATGAATCCTGCAGCAATTAACAAGAAAGACCATTCCTTTGTTCTCTGAGAATGCCTTACCCCTCCTGTACTCCCCATCTATATCCACCAGGATGGCATAGTTGGTGCAATGTCTCCTTTGTGTCTTGGGTTTGGTAAATTTGGGAAATGCTGGCATTTACGTGGGCAAAAAGCAATCTTCCACTCTTAAGTTCTGGTGCCTCCGTGGCTCTCCAGCCCAGGTGTGAACGTTCCCCCACCGGACCCGAGCCCTTACACTGGTGAACGTATGCCTAATCACTATCATAGCACTTTGTTAAAATAACCTACTGACACTTGCTCTTAATCTCCTGAAAAAAAGCATGACCCTTGCTTCACCAAACTCTCTATCCCCAGCACGTTTTCTAGTATATTTTTTCCGTAAAGCTCTTTTACCTGTTCTACTAGCAAAGAGTATCTAATTTTCAAATGCACTAATTATCATGAATTTATACTTTGGAACTAATATAGTAAAAACCATGACAATAGACTTTATACTGTGTACCTTTCACTTTTCTATCTTTTGACATATTCAAGAAAGAAGCTAAAATAATTTTCTGATTAATACATTCTTTGCCAGGGTGTAATTTCCATCATCAAATTCAATACAAAGCTTTTTTTTTTTCTTTTTTACTATTTATAACATTTCACTATTTACCCATCTTCCATAAATAAGTAACAGCAGGGAACCAAATCAGAAGTGGTTGGTTTCTGGATCTTTCGTGTTAACGGGTCGTGTAGCTATGAGTGTTTGTTCTTTCTTCAAGCCATCACCCTTTATCTTGGACACATTCATCTCTGAAGGAAACTTCTTTTCTTTAGCGGTGCCTTGGTTTTTAAATGTCCTGTGAGAGACCACCAGTTAGAAAATTACTTCTCAGGAATTCCCTGGTGGTCCAGTGGTTGAGACTATTCACTTTCACTGCCAAGGGCCTGGGTTCGATCCCTGGTCGGGGAACTAGGATCTGAGGCTGGGCTGCTGTTCCCCAAAGCATCCTTCTCTGTGTGTTCCAGGTTATGGCTGTCCACTGAGAGGAGCTCCCTGGGGATTGGGAAGTAGAGGACTGTCATATGACTACACGTGATGGCGGACAGACTCACAGGGCCCGACACGCCTTTACTCTCCTCCTGCTCTGTGCCCACCTCATCGTCGTCACAGCAGCCTGAGTTCACTGGACCCACAGAGGCTGCAGCACCCCACAAAGCACACCTTGCGCTCCCTTTCATGGCCTGGCTGGTGGCCATGTCCGCAGGGCTACTGGGTTTTCTCAAAAGCTTCAACTGGAGCCCTGTACCAGATTCAGCTGGACAGGCTTAGTGACTGTGTCCCTCTTCCCTGCAACTCCCAATCTCGTGAAAGCTTCCCTTCCTTGCTCCTGTGCCTTGGAGAGGCTGTTTTCCTAACTCAGCCCTGACCATACCCTTCCTTTGTCCTTTTTTACCACCAGGGATGCCAGCCTAGGAAAAACAAAAAATTGACAAGGAAAATAATGTCGGCATTTTTCACTAGAGAAGATGGGAGGATCATATAAATGTCACCAGACCACCAGCTGGCCCACCAGTGGGTCCTTGTCAGTAATTGCAGACCCCAGACTCTCCCATCAGCTAGCATTATGGTGAGGGGTCATGGACATTATCCAACATGTTGAAAGTGGGGCCCTGTCTACAGATGTCCTTTTGTCTCTTGCCTGTTGGTAACTAGAATGAATAATTTTTTTTTTTTTACTCAAAAAGAGCTCCCATTGACATGATGAAACTTTCAGATGTGAAAAATCAATCATTAATATTGATTGTAAAAAATACTTCTGAAAAGAAAATGTTTATATTGTTTTTACTGGTCAGATTAGGCTAGGCTGCACTACAGTGATAAATAAACTGAAAATCTTAATGTCTAGAAACATAGGAGTGATTCTTTGGTCATGCAAAATCCACTGCAGGTCAAATGACTGTCTGAGGCAGCGCCCTTCCAAGTGGTGACTTGGGGATCCAGGCTGCTTGCATCTGGTAACCATGCAGCCCAGGACACATGGTTTCCAGGAAAGAGAGTGTGGAGGGTCATCCACCAACTACGAAATGCTTCGTCTTGGAAATGACTTCTGCTCACAGCTCTGTATACATGCATTTCTGTATGTGTGCCCATGTGCTTCTGTGCACGCATCATGCGTGCAAGAGCAATCTTATAAGAGCTCAAAACTGGAAACAGTCTAAACGTCAAAAACAGTAAAATGCATGAGTAAATTTGGGAATTTATGTTATACTATTTAGTAAAGAAAATGAGTGAGCTACACATAAATACAACGACAGTAATGAATCTCATGAACAGAATGAGGAGTGAAAGAAGCCAGACACAAAAAAAGGTGTAAACTATCAAATTTGATGTATATATGGTGAAAGCATTTCTAAAGAAATGGACAGAACTAAACAGTGTTAGATGCCAAAGTAATTGTGGATAATTTATACATTGGAAAGGAGAGGGGCCATACAGGGCTTCTCATGTTGAGATGTTCTGTTTCTTGATCTGAATGGTGGTTACATAGGCATTTGTTTTGTACTAATTCATTTTACCATGTATTTGTTTTATTCATTTTTATGAATTGCATTATATTTCAAAATTATAATGATTAAAAACTGTCAAACCTATAAGTTGTATCACATGGGACTCGTGGTTATTTGCATCTTAAAGAGCTATTTGCTAAAACATAGCACGGTGCTGAGGACCTGGGTGCACCTTTCAAGTTAAGTAACAAACTTTAGAGTAAAACTTAAATGTGACTTTATTGGCCCAAATCCTATTTCTACAGAACTTTCTCGGGAATACATGTCATGAAGTATGACTGCATTTTTTACATCTCTCATATTTATTTTTAATAAGGGTATCATCCTGCCCAAGTGTTATTGATAGGTATTTTAATATTTTTAACAAGCTGAACTGATCCTGCAAGATTATTACAATAGAGGTGAATGATGATTTACATACATAAGTTCCTGGAGAAAAATGAAAGCCCCCGGGAGGGCTGTTGGAAGGATGGCAGGTAAATTTGCACTGGGAGCTCGCTGGGGCAGAAAGGCTGGAACCACTGCAAATGCCGAGGGCAGGTGCCACGCAAGGCTGAGCGACACTGCAGGCCCCTTTCTGCCCTCAGTCTTTGTTTATTTTCCCCCTGAACCACCCCCCTCCCACCCTGCTCTGGTCTTCCCAGCTGTTGCTGATCTCCCCTGCAGGGAAATGCCCCCATTTCCATTCCCTCAAACCTGCTGCAGCCTCTGAATTGCCCTCCCAGCTGTTCTGACCCTTCCCATAAAAAAGCTTCTTCCCCGGACCCTTGCGGCAAATGATATGTTTCCAAATTCCCTCCCCGAACACACATCACAGAAACTCCCCAGGCCAGACATTTCCCAGCTGCCCGAATCCTCGCAGATGATAAGAACTCTTCAGAAACCCCTTTTAGCTATTGCAAAACCTTGATGTCCTCTAATTTTTCAGCCACCATTGAAGATAAGGACTCGCCATGCAATCATTTCCCAACAACTGTAATCACCTGGGCTGGCGATTCTGAAGTGGTAGAATTATCTTCCTCACTTCCAGAAACTGCAACCATCTGTCTTTTCTAGATCTTCCCGGTTGAGGGCAAGGAAACTCCCACAATCCTACAACAGGGAAGAGAAAGGAATTTTCATACATTCAAATAGGGCTCACAATCCACTTCTGGGTTTGCAACGGCTGTGTAATGCTTTGTGTTTTGTTTGTTTGTTTGCGGTACTCGGGCCTATCACTGTTGTGGCCTCTCCCGTTGCGGAGCACAGGCTCCGGACGCGCAGGCTCAGCGGCCATGGCTCACGGGCCCAGCCGCCCCGCGGCATGTGGGATCTTCCTGGACCGGGGCACGAACCCGTGTCACCTGCATTAGCAGGCGTACTCTCAACCACTGCGCCACCAGGGAAGCCCCTGTGTAATGCTTTGAATGAATGTGTGCGCATCCAAACACCCTACAAAGCTGCCCAAGTCTGTCTTTGAGAAGAGAGACTGTAGCAGGCAGTCCGCTTTCTCTGTCACGTGCATCGAGAATGTATTAGAAGGAGGATACTGCCTCTGCACACGGGATTGTGCCATCGGTTTGATTTTTGGAGGGAAAGGGGTACGGTTGTTAGCTATGTCATTGCATGGAGGGATTCCACTCGTGAACTTAGTATGACCAAAGAGAACAGTGGCAGTCTGTACAGATGCGCTTAGAGCGTCTGGACCTCAAGGAGTTTACAATCCCAGTAAGAGAGAAAATATCTATGAAATAACTAGAGTGCAAGGCGGGGTGTAGTGGGGGTAATGGGATGTGCAAAGTGCAACAGAAAGTCAGGGGTGCCTGAGGACGAGCTTCTGGATGGGGAAATGCAAACACCCGTCCTCTGAGACCAGAGGGACTCTCCCCATTCCCCCATCACAAAGCTTCAACCAATTACAGCCACACTGGCGAGGCTCATGATGTCCTAAGCATTTTGTATGCATTGTCATATTTAATACACACAAAATCTAAACATGTACCATTATTGCCCCCCAACTTTACAGATTAGGAAACAGCAGCTCAGAGGGACCCAAGGTCACCCCACTGGTGACTCTCAAGAGGGAGAGGTTTTCACTGTAGCCTATAACCTCACCATCAAAAGATGACAAAGCAATGGGGTTATTTTAATAACGATGCTTTCTTTTTTAGAAAAACAAAAAAGAAGCAAACCTTTAGCAGCATGTCACAGAACAGAGCGATGGGGCAACTCCCTTGATCCCTGATTCCGTCTGAGGTACACAGACTACCCAGGCCCTGATCATGCAGGAAAGACAGGAGAAACAGGCCTCGACGTCTTGTGGTATCAAGGGGAGAAGAATACAAATGTGCATAAATAATAAAACCTGAGAATTTAGGAAGAAAAAAAGAGAGAGACAATTCACAACAATCTGGCAGGTTTTTTTAAAGGCTGAGGTAAAATTATCCTCTTAGTAGCTATTTTTTATGTTTATTAAGATATTAAGAGGATTGTAGAGAGAAGGCTTATGTAGTTAGAAACAGAATCATATATGTCCCACTGAAATATCATCCTCATTCCTACATATCACGAATCTAAAATCAGTTTATCTGTTCATTAAATCAATTCCATAAACATTGATTGAGTCCCTTTGTCAACATAAGGACTCATTAATGATCCAATCTTTTATGTTTAAAATTATTGTCTATAATTCTAAAAGTTCATTAATCAGTAAAAATTGGAAAGTTTTAAGTTGCGTTAGAAAACATTTCATAGTGCAATCACTGTCTGGAGAGTCCTTTCCATCGCCTTTACCAAACTAAATCACAAGGGTCTTTGTTGGTCCAGCTAGAGGTACTGCCATCACTTGCCCTCTGTGCTCTCCACCCTGGGAGGAGTCCTGCCTGCGCTGCTCAGACCCTTGGACACTGCCCCTCCTCCCAGCTCCCCTGGGCTCTGCTGGGGTGAAGAGAGATGCACAGTTTCCAGGCAGACCTCTTAGCAATGACCCCCAGGCTACTACAACCACTCAGGTCTGGGACTGACCCTTGGGCTCTGGACTTCCCAAACATGGCAGGGAACCAGATGTCTGAACTACGGGCTGAGTTCTTCTGGACTATTCCTCCCCAACAATATAGACTGAGCCTAGTAGCCATTGGGATCTAGTTTCCGTAAATTTTGAACTCTGCCCTTTGGGACTTGAGTGTGTAGAATGCAGTCGTGCCGCATACTCCAAAGGAACTCCTTCAAATTCATTAATCTGAAATAACCCAACGTTGTAGAAGGTGAAAACGGGCAGCAAGAAGGGTTTTGTGATGCTAACAATATTAGTTTTCTTTTCTTTTAATCCCTGTAACAGGAGTCCGGAGTTTTTTTTTTTAATAGAATAAAAGAAAAGGCAGAGAAAAAAGACTGTCCAACAAGAAAGGACTCAAGGACAACCTAGCAGCAAGGGCGACTCTGCTCTGTTCCAGGAAAGGAGTTGAAGCTGCCCGGTTTGAGCTGACACGCTGCAGCCCTTATCTGTTGAACGCCTCTGTGCATCAAGGCGGGTATTTAATGACCAGGGTGAGATGGACATAATGAGAGAGGAAGGACCCTGCGTCACACAGAATTAATGTAAGTTAAAACAGCCCTTGCCACGGGGGAGAACTCCAAAAACAATATCCACCCGGTTTGGAGTAATTCAAAGGTAACCGGCTCGAGCCACCATGCGTTTGCCCTTCCTCCTCAGACAGTGGGACTATTCCATCTAAACAGAGACAGTTGTGTAGGAGAAATGCCATTAATTCACTCACTCAGCAAATACTTATTAAGCATCCACTGCATCGAGCCCTGTAGTTCATCGACGGTTGGGCTCTGTCGACGAACACAAGGGGTGGAAAGCACTCCTTGTGGAGCGAACGTTCCAGGGGCAGAGACAGACTGTAACCAGAATAAGTGAATGTGGACCTTGTCAGAGGATGCTAAGCTCCACAGAGGAGGTAAAGCAGGGAGGGGAACGGGCCAGGGCATGCTTTAATCCGTGGTCAGGGAGGGCCTCTCGTGGGTTACGCTGGAGCAAAGACTTTGAAGGCGGGAGGGGCCTGAGTGCTGTGGGTGTCAGGAGGGAGTCTTCCAGGCAAGGGGACAGCAAGACAGAAGCCCTGATGGCAGGGACTGTGTCTGAAGGTCAGACAAGCAGCAAGGAGCCTCGTGGGCCTTGGGAAAAGTTAGCAAGAGGGGCATGAGGTCATAGAAGAAATGAAAAAAAGAACATGAGTGTAGGCAGCCGTGGAGAAGGCATCCATTCTAGGTGAGCCGGGAGCTGCTGGGATTGGGTTGGGTGGTAGGTAGCATCGTCTGACTCTGCTCCCAGGATCCCTTGGGCTGCAGAGGAAAAGCACCTGTCAGGGGTCAGGGGGTCCTGGAGGCCAGTTAAAGAGGAAGTTCTGGGCCAGAGAGGGTGGGGACTTGACCAGGAGTGGCAGAGGTGGGGATGAGTGGAGGCTGGCTTTGGACATGCCTTGAGGGTGGAGCTAGCACCAGCCACCTGGCACATCGGGTCCCGGGTTTGAGGGTCCACGGAAGGCAGGAAATGTCCAGGGATCACAGCCTGACAAACCAAAGGTGTCATTGACTGAGAGGAGGAAAATTCCAGCAAGTGGAAGTTCTGGGGGAAAGGTTAGGAATTCAGTCTATACATGTGAAGTCTGAGCTGCCTCTGAGCAGTCTAAGAGGAAACATTGAGTAGACAGTTGAATGTATGTCCGGAGTTCAGACAGAGGTGCTGGCCGGAGATGGAGGCGGTATTTCCTCAGCACGTGAAGGGTGAAGGGTAACAGGGCGTCAGCTCACCCAGGAAGAGGAGAGTCCAAGGGTTGAACTCCAGGACTCCAGTGACAAATAAAAGGACAGACATTAAAAAGCTGGAAATATTACAGGGAACTATATTCAATATCCTGTGATAGACCATAATGGAAAGGAATATGAAAAAGAATGTATGTATGTATAACTGAATCACTTTGCTGTACAGCAGAAACTAACACAACCTTGTAAATCAACTATACTTGAATAAAATAAATTTTTTAAAAGCTAGAAATATTAAGTAAGGTCAAATATCAGAAGCTGGGAAGGGAGCAGTGACTATGTGCCTGCCCAGGGCAGCGCCTGAGTGAGAGCTTGTCTGCACAGCCGCCAGCTGCCCAGCTGCACACTTAGCCACCGGGCCCCTTTGGAACTGGAAACAGTCCTCTGCTCCTCTGTTTACAAGATGGCCAATAATCAACCCGACGTGGCTCTGTGGCCGCCCTGTGTGCAAACGGGTTGCTTCATTAGTTTCTGGTGCCGGGTTGAATTTCAGTGAAGGAGGGGGTGACGGAGGTTGCAGCAAAAGAAATCAGGGGAGGCTGGAGGTGTGTCCTCGGCACAGCCCTGAACCCAACAGGCTGGTTTTCTTTGTACAGCGCACCCGCTGGGTCTGGACGTTGAGCCTGTCAGGTCAGTAAACAGACCTGCCTGAAGCTGGTTTTGCCAGATAAAGCCCAAGTGTGTTCCAAGCTCACCAGGCCTGAAGGCCGGCCACAGGGGTCCTCAGGCTCTGCTGTGACTAATAAGGAAGCTCCAGCCATCAATTTCCTCTTTAAAGTAGTAAAATATCTTGTTTATGACAAGCACGTCTTAGGAAGAAAAATGTTCTCTCTGATCCTCTGAATTATTTGAGAAGCTCTTATAGTTACTGTTTTGAAAGTCAAGGTGACAGTTGAATTCTCAAGGTTCATGGTGGGAGTCCAGCCAGAAGAGACACACACGGAGGCCCCGGTGGTCTGCTCTGCAAACCTGAAAAGGACTGTGAAAAAGGCTGGGGGGAGGGCCCAGGGAGCCGTGTAAAAGTGACTTCATTCGAGGAAAACGCTGACTAGTATTTATTACTTCCCTGGAGCGTGCTCTCTTGGGGGTGGGGTCCAGGACATGGCTTCTGGGCGGGGTAGGCCCCTGTATGAGCCTGAGAGGGCCTCTTACCTGTGCATCATTTCACTTCCTGACCCCCTCGAATCCCCTTATCTGTAAAATGTGTGTATTAGTTTGCTGAGGCTGCTATAACAAAATAGCAGAGTGGGCAGCTTAAACAAGAGACATTTATTTCTCAC